CCTCTGTTCATCTATAGCTATGAGATGAGGTTGGCCTTTGTTGAGTTTACAGGTAATTAAGTCCTCTGTTCATCTATAGCTATGATAGGAGGTTGGCCCTTGTTGAGTTAACAGGTTATTAAGTCCCCTGTACATGTATAGCTATGAGATGAGGTTGGCCCTTGTTGAATTAACAGGTTATTAAGTCTTCTGTTCATCTATAGCTATGAGATGAGGTTGGCCCTTGTTGAGTTAACAGGTTATTAAGTCTTCTGTTCATCTATAGCTATGAGAGGAGGTTAGCCCTTGTTGAGTTAACAGGTTATTAAGTCCCCTGTTCATCTATAGCTATGCGATGAGGTTGGCCCTCGTTGAGTTTACAGGTTATTAAGTCCTCTGTTCATCTATATCTCTGAGATGAGGTTGGCCCTTGTTGAGGTAACAGGTTATTAAGTCCTCTGTACATCTATAGCTATGAGATGTGGTTGGCCCTTGTTGAGTTAACAGGTTATTAAGTCCTCTGTTCATCTATAGCTATGAGATGAGGTTGGCCCGTGTTGAGTTTACAGGTTATCAAGTCCACTGTTCATCTATAGCTATGCGATGAGGTTGGCCCTTGTTGAGTTTACAGGTTATTTAGTCCCCTGTACATCTATAGCTATGAGATGAAGTTGGCCCTTGTTGAGTTTACAGTTTATTAAGTCCTCTGTTCACCTATAGCTATGAGATGAAGTTGGCCCTTGTTGAGTTTACACGGTATTAAGTCATCTGATCATCTATAGCTATGAGATGAAGTTGGCCCTTGTTGAGTTTACACGGTATTAAGTCATCTGATCATCTATAGCTATGAGATGAGGGTGGCCCTTGTTGAGTTTACAGGTTATTTAGTCCCCTGTACATCTATAGCTATGAGATGAAGTTGGCCCTTGTTGAGTTTTGTTGAGGTAACAGGTTATTAAGTCCTCTGTTCATCTATATCTCTGAGATGAGGTTGGCCCTTGTTGAGTCTACAGGTTATTAAGTCCTCTATTCATCTATAGCTCTGAGATGAGGTTGGCCCTTGTTGAGGTAACAGGTTATTAAGTCCTCTGTTCATCTATAGCTATGAGATGAGGTTGGCCCCTTAATGTTAGTCCCTTATGTTCACAAACTAAGTCTTTGATATAATTTAGCCTAGCTCCTTGCATTGCTTTAGCAGGGATTCTGGTGTCGCAATGAAGGTCAAAATATATTCAAATTCTTAAAAGGTCTTTAAGTATCTTTTAGTCTTATTACTACCTCATTGCTGGTGCTTTGTATGGAAAAAAGGTTATGTGTACTTTGTATACATGTACACTTGTGATACATCTGGTTCCAGATTTAATTCCTAGTGATTATATGTGTGTATGAAATCAGGTTTGAGATATGGAAAACAGATTTATTTAAAATATGAGTCGAGCATGTATTCATTATTTAAATTGAAAATATTTATTAACAAAAACAGTTTTTTCGTGAAATATTTCATTAAATTGGATATTGTCAAGTATGAAAAAACAGTCAGTCATGCTTAAAACTGTCGATGGATTTCAGTGTTTAGAATAATACAAGGTGGCTTCTGCTGGGCAATGCATTTAATGGGATGGGATGTTCAAAGTATTATTTGCGTTTTTGGTTTCCTTTTCATCTATGTATTATAATATGACCATACCAGAATTTTGTTTAAGATGTTATATATTTCCTTTTATTAGCTCACCTGGCCCGAAGGGTCAAGTGAGCTTATGCCGTGGTGCGGCGTCCGTCGTCCATCCGACCGTCCTTCGTTCGTCAATATTTTACTTTAAACAAATTCTTCTCATAACCAAAAGGCCTAGGGTGATGATATTTAGCCAGTAGCATGCTGGGATGAAGGGCTACCAAGTTTGTTCAAATGAATGACCTTGACCCACTTTCAAGGTCGCAGGGGTCAAATGTCTCAAAATCTTCTAACAACTTCTTCTCAATAACCAAAAGCCCCAGGGTACTGATATTGGCCCTGAAGCGTGCTGTGATGAAGGGCTACAAAGTTTGTTTAAATGAATGACCTTGACCCACTTTCAAGGTCACAGGGGTCAAATATCTTTAATTCTTCAAACGACTTCTTCTCAATAACCAAAAGACCCAGGGTAATGCAATTTGGCCTGTAGCATGCTGGACTGAAGGACTACCAAGTTTGTTCAAATGAAAGACCTTGACCCACTTTCAAGGTCATAGGGGTCAAATATGTTAAAATTTTCAAACGACTTCTCAATAACCAAAAGGCCCAGGGAACTGGTATTTGGCCTGTAGCATGCTGGGATGAAGGGCTACAAAGTTTGTTCAAATGAATGACCTTGACCTACTTTCAAAGTCACATGGGTTATATGTCTTAAAATATTCAAACGACTTCCTTTCAATAACCAAAAGGCTCAGGGTACTGATATTGGGCCTGTAGCATGCAGGGATGAAGGCCTACCAAGTTTGTTAAATGAATGACCTTGAGCCACTTTCAACCTTATATCCTTGTTCGACGTTCAAGGTCACAGGCATCATATGCAGAGCTGCCAACTCTTACAATTTAGGCGTTATTATTACAATTTTGAGGTCTGAATTACGCTAGTACGATTTTCCAAGTAAAATTACGATTTTTTTTTAAAATCCGGAATTTTTCCTTTTTTTTTGTTTGTTTCGCCGTAATCCGGTCCCGATGTCCGTTTTCAGTATTATAATCGCAAATCAGATACACCCGTGCGTTTGCATCGATCCTCGAGATAGGCTGGAGTTAATTCAATGTGAAAAGGACGTTTGTAGATGAAGTAAAATGGCGGAAAAACGTGTCAAACTGGACGGGCAAGAAGACGTTTCTCCTAGGAAAAAAAGGAAATTAATTTATTAATTTTTGAAAAGGGCTAAAAGTGAGACTTCCAAGGCACTAGAAAAACAATAAAAGGTAATGAATACATGTTTGTAAAAAAGCGATCGCAGATTACTATTTCTTAATCTCTAAGGTTGGCAGCTCTGCATATGTTAAAATCTTTTAATAGGTTCTTATGAGTCAAACACTGATATTCTGCCTGTAACTGTATTTTAGTCCACTTTTAAGATTACAAGTGTGAGATTCATTCCAGGTGAGCTGTGCAGGCGCATTGGGCCTCTTGTTATGATATATGTAATTGACATAATTATATGTATAATTTCATCATATGTTTAATTTCATCATTGGAATATCATTTGCATATTTGTCATATAATTATGATATGTTACCTGATATTGTGTTTTATATATAACCATGCTTGTATATATATATATATGTATGTGTGTGTTTATGTAGAAGCTTTTCCAGGTTAATGAATTAGGATCATCAGTAACCATTTTCTAGTCTTGGTTTAGATACTACATTGTAATAAGAGTAAACACAACTTTCCAAAAATCAGCGAAACAGATATGGAAAAGAATGAGAACCCTTAAGGATCATGTTATGTAACATTGAAAGAATAAATAAAAATGAAAGAAAAAACTCAGATTTAGGACTTGAGGGGAAAAAATTAAAAAGACTGAATGAAATATATTGAAAGAAAATTAAAGCGATGTAATAATGGTGATTATAATGCTCGACGTTTTTTGGCATTGAAAATGCATTTTTTTTTGGCCATATGTAGTGTATCTGAACCATTATAAAAGACTTTTAGCCCAAGATGATTTTGTGGGTCTGTTTTTAGCTCACCAGCTGCCCCGAATTTCGAAGGGCCAAGTGAACTTATGCCATGATGCGTCCGTCCGGCGTCAATTTTTTACTTTAAACAACTTCTTCTCAATAACCAAGAGGCATAGGGTGATGGTATTTGGCCAGTAGTATGCTGGGAGGAAGGACTACCAAGTTTGTTCAAATGAATGACAATGACTTATTTTTAAGGTCACAGGGGTCAAATATGTTAAAATCTTGAAACAACTTCTTCTGAAAAATAAGAAGGCCCAGGATGATTATATTTGGACAATTACATACTGGCATGAAAGGATACCAAGTTTGTTCAAATAAATGACCTTGAATTATATTCAAGGTCACGGGGGTCAATTGTTTTATAAAACTTTCTAACAACTGCTTCTGAATAACCAAAAGACTTAGAGTGATGATATTTGGCCAGTAACATATTGGCATAAAAGGCTACCAAGTTTGTTCAAATGAATGACCTTGACCTTTATTCAAGGTCACAGGGATCAAATACGTTCAAAATCTTTAAACGATCTTCTGAATAACCATAAGGCCCAGATTATTAATATATTGCTGGTATTTGGCAAGTTGTATGCCGAGATGAAGGGCTATAAAGTTTGTTCAACGTCATTACCTTTTCGGACATTCAAGGTCACAGGGTTCAAATGTTTTAAAATCTTTTAACAGGTTCTTTTGAATACTTTCTAGTCATAAATACTGATATTTTGCATGTAGCTTTATATTTTAGATCACTTAAGGTTACAAATGTGAGATTAATACCAGGTGAGCGATGCAGGCCCATTGGGCCTCTCGTTCTTAATAGTCTTAGATAAGGTATACAATTTCCTGCAGAGTACTAGGCCAGAGAAAGATTCTGACAAAATTCTAGTAGCCCGAAATATATTTTCATGATAAAAATTTGAAATTGAACCAGTACTACATTTAGATCCAGTATTCACTTTGTTTAAATTTGTTTAAACATCTACTTTAAGATAAAAAATATTTTCCTGTGAAATTGGACAAATATACACAATTTATGTCATGTATTTAGTACAGTTATTGTAAAAAAAAAAAAAAAAAAATTAAGACTAAACTTATCGATACAAATCAGATAAATTTTCTCCTTACTCCACAAGTATTCAAAACGTTTATGTATTAACATGTTAATAGGGAATATGTATAAGGAATGTGCTTCAATTACATACTGTGGCATCTGAAAGCTTGTATTATGTATTTATTATTATTATTATTATTTGTATTTGTTGTGATTTTTATTGGCTTTTTTCTTGAGATTGGGTGTAAATTTATTTATTTCCAGTTTACCAAATGGATAATGAGAAAGACTGTTTACTGGAGAACCAGTATACTAGAAATGAGGGGAAATCATACCAACCTCCTAGGGGTAAGTTAGACAGTAGTTCTGTATAGTGTCAAGTAGATCTTTATATAGTAGGACAATATCCAGTCACTGAAATCTAAAAAAAAATATAAATGTTGGAAATATAGAAAATATACAATATTGATAATATCTAACCACTGAAATAAAAAAAAAAATGATTTGGAAGAATAGAAAATATTCAATATTGAAAATTGAATAAATAGTAAACTAACAAATTACATTTATTAGTATGTAGAAAAAAATCCCCAATTAGCCATATATATTTGTGTATTGTGCACATTGTCCGGCGTCGTCCGTCGTCCGTCCGTTTACAATTTACATTTTCGACTTCTTTTCCAAAACCCCTGAACCAATTTCAATGAAACTTTGCAGAAACCTTCCATGGACAAAAGTCAACAAAAAATAGTGTCCGGTTTAGTCCCAAGCCCCCAGGGGCCTGAGGGGCGGGGCCAATAAGGGTTGAATTGACTGAAATTTCAAAAATCTTCTTCTCAAGACCAAGATATGGTAGAATCAAATACTCTTCATAGGTGGAAGGGTCTTAAGGTGCTTTACCAAAATTGTCAATTTCTTGACCCTGGGGTCTCACGTTTCCCCCTGGGGAGGGGTAAACTTTACTATAGTTTATATAGGGAAATCACATTTTGGACTAACATTTGTTTAATTTCCATTGGAAGTAATTCAATTTAGGTTAGCATTATCAGTATAAGGAAGCAGTTTGATAATATGCACATATGAGCCCTGACTGATCCCCAGGGGCTGATGGGTGGGGCAAAAAAGGGTTGAATTGACTGAAATTTCAAGAATCTTCTTCTCAAGACCCAGATATGGTAGAATCAAATACTCTTCATAGATGGAAGGGTCTTAGGGTGCTTTACCAAAATTGTGAATATCATGACCCTGGGGTCTCACGTTTACCCCTGGGGAGGGGGTAAACTTGGCTATAGTTTATATAGAGAAATCACATTTTGGACCAACATTTGTTTATTTCCATTGGAAGTAATTCCATTTAGGTAAGTATTATCAGTATTAGGTAGCAGTTTGATAGTAAGCACATATCAGCCCTGACTGACCCCCAGGGGCTGATGGGTGGGGCCAAAAAGGGTTGAATTGACTGAAATTTCACAAATCTTCTTCTCAAGACCAAGATATGGTAGAATCAAATACTCTTCATAGATGCAAGGGTCTTAGGGTGCTTTACCAAAATTGTGAATATCATGACCCTGGGGTCTCACGTTTACCCCTGGGGAGGGGGTAAACTTGGCTATAGTTTATATAGGGAAATCACATTTTGGACCAACATTTGTTTAATTTCCATTGGAAGTTATTCAATTTGGGTTAGCATTATCAGTATTGGATAGCTGCAGTTTGATGTTATGCACATATCAGCCCTGACTGACCCCCCAGGGCTGATGGGTGGGGCCAAAAAGGTTGAATTGACTGAAATTTCAAACATCTTCTCAAAGACCCAGATATGGTAGAATCAAACACTCTTCATAGATGGAAGGGTCTTAAGGTTTATGACCCTAGGGTCTCACACGTTTACCCCCTGGGGAAGGAGGGGGTGGGGGTGGGGATTTATTATGGTTTATAATGGCAAATGATACTTTGAATATTACATGTTAATAACTTGATTGGAATTATAACCTTTAGTTGACAGTTTGATACTTTGAAAATTTTGAGCCAGCCTTACCTACCCCCAAGGGCTGTAGGGTGGGGCCCAAAGGAGTCAGTGTGCTAAAATTTCTTCGTTTTCCTTGTTTAGAATCAGAGGTGCTAGTTTCAAATACTTTTTAGCCTGAAATCTGTATGCTAGATATTGAATAAGGTGGTTTTATTGTTTTTTGTCACTTTGAATAATATTTCTGTTCATGTAAAAACAAAATCAACTCTCTGTATAAATATATCAGGTGACCGTTAAGGCCCATGGGCCTCTTGTTAGGGAAAAATGGCAATATGAAGAAATGGGTGTGCAATACATGTATATATACACTGGAACAATCCAAAACCAGTTTAAAAAAAGGGGAAAAAAGGTTTTGACTTTAATTGATGATGTATGTATACAGTGAAAAATATAGGCATATGTTTACAATATATTCCCTACTATACTAAATATTGGTAAATTAACAGTCTAGATTTCCTTCACTGCGTATATATACAGAGTAATCAGTTCAGACTTCTACCAACTGGTGTCTTTACTATTGCAGAGTAACCTGTACATATTTAGTCTGTGTTAGGTGTTGGATCACATTTTCTATCTTACGTAATAGAATAAGACTTATTCAGGTTATATGTAGGTGATTATTTATTACACAAAAAAATGAATAAAAAATAAAATATCTAAATTTTTGCTCCTTTGTTTTGCATGTTAGCTAGCATGAAAGTCATGTTTCAGAGATTGTACATTAAATATGAAGACATTAGACTCTGCATGGGCGAAGAGATGAGGGTACCACAGAATTGTGTCAGAGGTTTAAATTGAGCTGCAGAACGTAGCACAGTTTGTGGAACTGTAAGCCCTAAACCAGATTTACTTTTATGTGTCTTGATTAATAACAAAATGGTATAGTGTTGGAACGTCATGTAATTTAAGCGTTCATGCATGTGGATAGTATTTTGTGTTCTGTGAGGAAGATTTTTTTAATAAAGATCTTATGGACTTAACTTTTTTTCTATGCATTTGTGATCTAATTACATGTCTATGTCATTGATCTGTGGTTGACCTTCAGCCATTAAATGGTATAAATCACTTAAACCAAGCATTTCAGACCGCTGGATCAAATTTATTTTCACACTTTCAGTATGACATATTTGCTGATACCTGCATTACTATAGATATTTATTAGTGGATGCAATCCTGGTGTCTCCTCTTATTTGAAGTTTTATGGATGTACGTTTTTAACTTAATAGCTGTTTTCTAAGTTTTACTTTCCTTGATAATGTTGATCGTGTAAGATGCATTATAGATTGTTGGCATGGTTTCAGACTTTGTCTTTATGATATCCAGAATATGAGCATGTGACAATTACTGTGGAAATACACTTCAGAAGGTCTCTTTCTTCCTTCAGTGCCCCTTCATCCCCCTGACCCCCTCTTTAGCCTTTCTCCTCCAGCCTTCCATCCCCCACCCAACCCCCATCCCACTATTATTAGTGCTAAGGTTAATACCCCTTTTTAGGTAGGGTCATATCAGGAGAATCAAGCTCTTTCTTCATATGCAGTAATTATCTATATACTAGGTTCTATGGGACATAATTCTATATATAGCATTCTGTCACCAATAATTGTCATTTTGGTTTTCTGGAGCATACTGTTGACCTCGAATTCTTCGCTGACAAACAGGTTTTGATAAAACTGCATATTTAAATAAACTGGTGCTATGAAGCATGTCATACAATGGTTTTCAATTCAAAAATGTCAGTTTTAGACAAGATTTTTTTGTCTTTCTTCAAATTGGAAAGAAGTGAAGGTTTAGCCCAAAATATATAAGCTGGGAAACTCCTTGGGGTGGTTGCAGTTCTGAATCTAGATCCCAAACACAGCTAGTGTGTGTTGTCACATGTTGATTTGGATATCATAATATTCAGTAAAGATGAGGATTTTGATAAGAGGATGGAAAACATGAACTCTGAAAACTGACATGTGGTATGTTGATGTGTGACTAAACATTTAGCGAGTAAACAAACATTTTTTTTTTTAAATACAGCATGTTTGTTTTAGTTCTGTATCTTTTGTATAGTTTCTTAGATTTCATTTAAGATTTGCAGCCAATTTTGAGTTAAGATATTTTGTTAGTCACTAGTGTATGTACCAAGGCAGTTTGTCAGTGGCTGTTCACCCGTCCTATTCTACAGAGAATGGAGGAGAGCTCATAATTTTTTTTTTTCATATATTTTGTCTTTAATTATGTAAAATGGGAACTTTTTCATTTTATTCCTAATCTTGATTTATCATCATCACAAAACTTTTACTTATGTGATCAAACAAAAAATTACGTGCATTTGGAAAAAAATGGTTGCCTGAAGTTATTTGAAACCTGCATTTTAGAGGCTTCAGGTTCGGAATTATTTCATCTGTCTGGGAGTCTTTCTTAAAATTTAAATTCAGGAACAGAGGTAGTTCATTTATCTAGAAAATAAAATGCTTAATTGAAGTACTTCTGAAAATGGTCATGTATTGTTAAAAATTCAGTATATTGGCTATTGGTAGACTATATATAGCTACCTAGATTCTGCTGTAAATTTCACCTCCATTCTGTGTATGAATTTGTTTTTGTATGAACATTTCTGTTTTTGTGCATCATCATTTTCTGATGTATGTGAAGTTGAGACTTGGCATGATGAAAACACATTGCATGCTTCTTGTCTTATAGGGTATGATTCGGATGAGGAGGAAGATGGCGACGTTAAGTATACACGCCGGATCCTGGGTAAAAAATATGCCTCCTTGCCTAAAGACGATTCGTTTGATCAACATCCAACACATAAACTTCCGTCTCAAAATGGTTCCAATCCTGATCTCAGTGTTCACGGCAATGATAGGAACTCACGTTGTAGTTCAGATTCATATTCATACAAAAAATCTTATCGTGTGAGTGCAGGGTCACTCGGGTCGGACTCCGAGGATGTGGGCAGTGAAACAGAGGCGCCCTCTAGGGCATCCTACCTGAAAACCAAGACGGCAGGAGGTACACAGTATATATATATATGTATATATTGTATATGTGTTTGTATTCTCACACTTCCTCCTACACTTGTGTATCTAAAGTCACCTCTCATCACACTCCCCAACACACCTGTGTATCTCGGATCTCATCACACTCCCCAACACACCTGTGTATCTCAGATCTCATCACACTCCCCAACAAACATGTATCTTAGATCTCATCACACTCCCCAACAAACCTGTATCTTAGATCTCATAACACTCCCCAACACACCTGTGTATCTCAGATCTCATCACACTCCCCATACAAACCTGCATCTCTGATCTCATCACACTCCCTAACACACCTGTGTATCGCATCACACTCCCCCAACAAACCTGTATCTCAGATCGCATCACACTCCCCCAACAAACCTGTATCTCAGATCGCATCACACTCCCCCAACAAACCTGTATCTCAGATCGCATCACACTCCCCCAACAAACCTGTATCTCAGATCTCATCACACTCCCCCAACAAACCTGTATCTCAGATCGCATCACACTCCCCCAACAAACCTGTATCTCAGATCTCGTCACACTCCCCCAACAAACCTGTATCTCAGATCTCACCACATTCCCCAAACTCACCTGTGTATCTCATATCTCATCACACTCCCTAACACACCTGTGTATCTCATCACACTCCCCCAACAAACCTGTGTATCTCAGATCTCATCACACTCCCCATACAAACCTGTATCTCTGATCTCATCACACTCCCTAACACACCTGTGTATCGCATCACACTCCCCCAACAAACCTGTATCTCAGATCTCATCACACTCCTCCAACAAACCTGTATCTCAGATCTCATCACAATCCCCCAACAAACCTGTGTATCTCAGATTTCACCACACTCCCCAACAAACCGGTATCTCAGATCTCATCACAATCCCCCAACAAACCTGTGTATCTCAGAGTTCACCACACTCCCCAACAAACCTGTATCTCAGATCTCACCACATTCCCCAAACTCACCTGTGTAACTCATATCTCATCACACTCCCTAACACACCTGTGTATCGCATCACACTCCCCCAACAAACCTGTATCTCAGATCTCATCACAATCCCCCAACAAACCTGTGGATCTCAGATTTCACCACACTCCCCAACAAACCTGTATCTCAGATCTCACCACATTCCCCAAACTCACCTGTGTATCTCATATCTCATCACACTCCCTAACACACCTGTGTATCGCATCACACTCCCCCAACAAACCTGTATCTCAGATCTCATCCCACTCCCCCAACAAACCTGTATCTCAGATCTCATCCCACTCCCCCAACAAACCTGTATCTCAGATCTCATCCCACTCCCCCAACAAACCTGTATCTCAGATCTCATCCCACTCCCCCAACAAACCTGTATCTCAGATCTCATCACACTCCCCCAACAAACCTGTATCTCTGATCTCATCACACTCCCTAACACACCTGTGTATCTCATCACACTCCCCCGTCAAACCTGTATCTCAGATCTCATCACACTCCCCCAACAAACCTGTATCTCAGATCTCATCACACTCACCCAACACACCAGTGTATCTCAGATCTCATCACACTCCCCAAACAAACCTGTATCTCAGATTTCACCACACTCCCCAACAAACCTGTATCTTAGATCTCATCACACTCCCTTACACACCTGTGTATCTCAGATCTCATCACACTCCTCCCATGCCCAACACACCCACCTGTGTTTTCAGTGACCAGTTAACACGTGTTTGGCTGTCACATTTGTAGTAGTGTATTGATATGATAAATTGACTTGCACACTCTAATGCAAATTCTGGGCCCCTGGTAACACCAGTCTTACACTACGTTCTACATCTTGATCACTTATCTGGGGACTCATTTGACTATTGATCTACCTTTGTTTTTCCACACTCTTTCAATTAACTATGATGTTCAGAAACCAGATCTTTCCTTTCTCTTTACTACATCTTTATTTTCACAATCATCAAGCATTCCCATATAAATGCAGACAAAAAGAACATTTCTTGATGCCTATCCCAGCAAAAAGCCCTTAAAAACTGAAACCTGCCCTCAAAAATATATTTCTTCCCCCTTAAATATTTACCTTTCCTCAAAACCTATACTTACCCTAAAAGCCTATGTTCATCCATAATAAAGCCTCTAGCTACCCTAAGAAAATGTATATCGTTTCAAAAATTGTGCATCAAATTTTGTTTTTTTCATAATCCTAATTTGAGTTTATAGGTTATAAGCCCAATTTTGTAGCACAACAATATTAATTGCTAGTCATTACATATGATGTGATGATATCAGCCTCGGTAAGGAGATTGTACACTTACATGTATGAGGATGGTTGGTGGCCCTCTAATATTGGCACATGATCATACAGTATCTTTACGTCACCTGAGACGAGGTCTGCGGGAGCAGATCACACCTCCACTTACCTGGATTTCTTGTCTTTGCTTGCGGCCATCTTTTCTTGTCTGGTTTTCTGTAGATTCACATGTCATACGACCTCTTAACTGCTTGTCCCTATTGTACATGTCGTACGTCGCATGACATCACATGTGACTGCATACTGATCACATGACATATCATGTGACTTAACATGACATCATTAGTATCCTCTTTTGTTTGCCTGTCTTTTCTTTATGTGTGTGTGTATGTTTCTTTATGTATGTGTGTGTTTATATTAACAGTGTATGTATGTGTACCTCACAAGATCACATGTTGACTTCTCCCTGTTTGTGTATGATACGTGTCTGGCGAGAACTTCGCCATACAATATAGATTGCATGTTTATAAAAATTAACTTTTGTCATTTTCATATGCAAGTACCGTGCAGTATTTGACCTACTTTGTACAAATATTTAAGTTTGCCTTAATTTGTAGTTTTGAATGATCGATTTTCATTAATAATTTCATAGTTGTTAAATTTGTCTTGTGAATCTGTTCTTTATTTGAATGCTAATTGGAATGCTGTCAAAAATAGCTTGGATAACATGATTTGCATAATTACATATTTCTACCTATTTTTGTTGTTGTTATTAACCTAAGGTTGAATTAATGCTCCACCTATGACCTCTATGGGTATATATATTTTTCCAGACTTCGACACGGATGAAGAGACTGACATTCTGCTGCAGAAACAGTACCAGAAGGATCAATACGTAGATATACCCGAATTAAGTCAACCACCTGTAAACCGGAGTGCTCAGGTTAGCTTTTACAATTAGTCGGTTTACAAGTGATCATATTCAAGAGCTTACTAAACCGAGAGCTCAAGTTAGATGGCCTATAAAGGGATCATATTAATGGGCATACAGAGGGTTAACAGGGAGATCACAAAGGGTTTCCTGTATGTGGGCTTACCAGGAGTCACAAGGGTTTCCTGTATGTGGGCCTACCAGGAGTCACAAGGGTTTACTGAGAGCTTCCTGTAAGATGGCTTATAGAGGGATAGTATCTATTGTGCATACAGAAAGTTTTACTCAAGAGGGATAATAGTGGATCTCAAAAAGATGCCAAGCAAGTGGGCTTGTAAGAAGGATTTATTCAGAAGGCTTACAAAGAGCTTCCTATAAGATGGCCTATATAGGGATCATGTTAAGTGTAAATTCAGAGGAATTATAGAGGAATCACAAAGGGCTCCCTGTAAAAGGGCTTACCCAAGGATCACAGAAGGTGGGTGGATTAATTTTAAAGGGCTTATTGGATGCTTTCAATGTTAATTTTATTCTTCAAAAAAAGCTCAGTGTTGGACAAATGATTCTAGTGTATACATAATTGTATAGAGTGCTTCATCTTTAAGCTCAAGTGAAATGCTGATAAGTGGCTATTGATTTGCCAGTTAAGAGCTTAAAGTGCTTAAATGAGTTATTAAATATGGTTATGTAAGACAATTAAAAGGCTTTAATTATTGCCATTAGTTTCCGCTCAATAACTTGAGTAATTTTGAATGGATTCATTTCATACTTAATAGGAAGGTTCATTTCCATGAAAGCTCGGACAAGATCGATAAACAAAATTATTTGCTAGTTATTTCCAGAGTTATTGCCCTTTGAAGAATTGCCGAAACAGTTTCCGCTCAATAGCTTCAGTAATTTTGAATGGTGTATTTCAAACTTCATAGAATGGTTCATTGCTATGAAAGCTCGGACAAGTTTGATAACCAAAATTATTCGCTGGTTATTTACGGAGTTATGGCCCTTTGTAGAATTGCAGAAACAGTTTGCGCTCAATAACTTAAGTAATTTTGGATATATTCCTTTCAAACTTCCAGCTTGGCATAACCAAAATTATTCGCTGGTTATTTACGGAGTTATGGCCCTTTGCAGAATTGCCAAAACAGTTTCCGCTCAATAACTTGAGTAATTTTGAATGGATTAATTTCAAACTTGGTAGGAAGGTTCATTGCCATGAAAGCTTGGACAAGCTTGATAAGATTTGACGCTTATCTCTCCAAAATTTATGCACTTATGGCCCTTGGTGGCAAACTGCTCATTCTACATCTGACGGGCATATCATGTACCGTCTCTCGGAACTCTTGTTAAAAATGTGTCTTGGACATATCTTCTATGCTATTTTACCTGGACTAACTAGATTTGGTATGCATATATGTCTTGGTTGTTGGAGTATCGAGTACAAGAAGTATGTCACTTTATCCTGAGATTGGTGAACAGCTGGGTAAATAAAGAAATGATTACCAATGGGGGAGTACGGATTGCCTTGCAATTATTTGCCTTGTTATTTAAAGGCTTTTATAGCACATGTGTGGGCTAATAGATTGTTATGAGACTTACAGGTGGTTTAATGTAAGGGGAATACATGAACTCATGAAGGAACACTGACAGAACAAAGACAGGGCTTTCTAAGCCTTTAGTCAGCTGAGTGCCTAAATAGCAGTGGAGAGGGCTTATAGAACTAATATTTTGAGACTTAGTGTTATTGTTTAAGGATTAACCTTTTATTTTGTTTAGTTTATGAGATACTAAATCCAATGGAACACGAGGTAAATTGCGTAAACGCTTCGCATTTACGAACAATTTACAGACTGCTCCATTGGATTTAATATCTCATAAACTAAACAAAATAAAAGGTTAATCCTTATATTTACAATATTTTCTTTTAACAATAACACCATTAAAAGGGTCGGATACAAGCATTTACCTTGTGCAATCTGCGTTCAAAATTATTTTGACGTCATGTTAATCCATGCGAAACAGCCATTCGTAAAAGCCGTTGACAGACAGCTAAACCCCGCCCACTTTATCCGTGACAACAAATGAAAAAAGTTCCTCCATTTCATTATTTTTGTTCACATAAAATATCCATATTTAACTTCATACAATATCGTCATAATTGTATTAGTAGGTAATGGAATAAATAATTTTATATTTGTATGAAATTGAGGTACTGGGGCAAAATACTTATTAGAAAATACTAATGACTGCGGGCGTCAATTTTTTAAAAGTGATGTGCCCAAAGGCGGGAAATAGAGAGTGCTACCATGTCGTCGAGCGATAGTGACTAGCCTAGGCCTGGTGGAAGTTGAACGTGCAGTTATTGAAATTGCTGGTTGTAAGCAAACCAGAGTTTTGTACAGATGACATGTACACTGTATGATGTGTATAAATCGTTTGTCGACCGAGTGACTGTTAATGTAACATTTGGGAGACGAGAAATTTGACCTACATTTCTAGGAACGATAGCCATTGTTTCTGTGCCGACACTCAAAGATGATAGAGTGGAGCTGGTGGAGCGTTTTTGTATTGACGAACAATCGTGACTGTAGCTTCTGACACTAGCTTCATTTTTATGACCGGTCATGAACATGACCTGTCTTGTCTCGAACCCGACATAATTTGGTGTCTCGAATGCAAGGTAGTCTAAATGCTAGCGTTTGTTTGTAAACATTGACACGAGGTTTGCAGAAAGAAGTCTGCCCATATTTTCTTACGCAGTGAACTGGATCAAGTTCTACACTCAAGTTATTGAGAAATAAACAGACTTGCCTTCACTTGCGTTATCGATTCAGAACAGTGGCAATTGTAAATATAAGCTAACCAATCATATACATCAGGTAGAGATGTCTATTATATTGTAGTTTACTTTTATTTTACTTTTAACAAAGTTGTTTTAAAACATACAATATCTACACCAAGGAATCAGAAAAAAGGAGAAAATGTGTAAGAAAAGGTATCCCTGCCTGGGAAGAGGAAAGCAGCCCAGAGCTACACTTGAAGACATAATAGACTTCTCAGGGCTAATACGAAACTTTGGAGCAAGTGTTGATGATTGAATAGCTGATGAGATGTATGAAGGTTGACAGTGATGAAATTATCGTAAATTTTGTGATTTTTCTGTTTCAGGCTGAGAAGCGGCGCTCTCGTGCGAAAGAAGGTGAGAAGGAGTCATGTAAGATATCAAATTTTATTCCTTTTTTTATTTTTTTATTCCTGGATGTGGCACAAGCTGGTTCTACGGTCATTCCGTGTGTGTTGTGCTATTTTGCATTACACCTGCGTAGGTGAGTAGAAAAACCCTAAATGTTTTTAATGTTTGGGCTCAAGGTTGAAATAAATGATGGGCAAAAGGCTTAATTGTGTGATCAGGTCTGGGCAAAGGCTTAATGGTTTGGGGCAAAATGGATTAGTTTAATTAGATGACAATCTCTTTGCCACATTTTTGTGCTCAATATACTTTTCAGGCTTAATAGATGGGTTAAGTAGTTTCACAGAATTTGGGCCGAGGGTTTATACCTTTAAAACTTTGGATAATGGGCCATCTTTTCTCATTTACTGGACAGGCTTAAGTGGTAAGCTAGAGAGGAAAATTCTTCACCATTTTGACACATTTACATGAAATCTTTATAAGATATTTCTTAATCCTTTCACCCCTATGCAACTTTAGTAGACTCTCCCATGAATTGATCTGGATGAGTCCATTATGGTCTTCAGTACTAGTGGTGAAAGGGTTAAATGTTAAAGAAAAACAATTCCAGATTTGATGAAATGAAATGTGGTGGCGGTTTTAATGCTCACCTGATTTTAGTCTCTGCACAGTTTAGCATGGCTCCTATGTATATATCTATTCTCAACCCTCGCACCCCTATGCAGGGTACATCTTACAGACTACCTACTCATTTTATTGTAGGCATTATGGTATGGAAGCGTCATATATCCTCCTAAGAGTACATTATATAATTACCGTGTTTTGTTCCCCCCTTTTTATGTCCCACTAACTACATGACTATAGAACATAATGGATATTCAGTTTGTCAATGTTAACTTTGATATGTGGGATGAAAATATATGTACAGTTGAACTTGTCGCATTGATACCTTGATAAGTCAAAGTGAAATCTTTGTCAAAATTGGTATTATTTTAATGATACAGATGTCTCAAATACAGGCAAACCATAGTTATTAAGTGTTATTCTGAAAAAGCTCATTCTGGATTTTTTCATTCAAGAAAGTGAAATACTGTTTCATTGATGCAGTAAACGTATTACTTATATTTTGATTTTTGGGGACATGATCTGTATTATGACGCTCTCCCATTATCCTCAATATTCTTTAGGTGATCGTGTGACGCTATTCCGTTATCCTTGGTATTCTTTAGGTGATCGTGTGACGCTATTCCGTTATCCTCAATATTCTTTAGGTGATCGTGTGACGCTATTCCATTATCCTCGATATTCTTTAGGTGTTCGTGTGACGCTATTCCGTTATCCTCGATATTCTTTAGGTGATCGTGTGACGCTATTCCATTATCCTCTGTATTCTTTAGGTGATCGTGTGACGCTATTCCATTATCCTCAGTATTCTTTAGGTGTTCGTGTGACGCTATTCCGTTATCCTCGATATTCTTTAGGTGATCGTGTGACGCTATTCCATTATCCTCAGTATTCTTTAGGTGATCGTGTGACGCTATTCCGTTATCCTCGATATTCTTTAGGTGATCGTGTGACGCTATTCCATTATCCTCGATATTCTTTAGGTGATCGTGTGACGCTATTCCATTATCCTCGATATTCTTTAGGTGATCGTGTGACGCTATTCCATTATCCTCGATATTCTTTAGGTGATCGTGTGACGCTATTCCATTATCCTCGATATTCTTTAGGTGATCGTGTGACGCTATTCCATTATCCTCGATATTCTTTAGGTGATCGTGTGACGCTATTCCATTATCCTCGATATTCTTTAGGTGATCGTGTGACGCTATTCCATTATCCTCGATATTCTTTAGGTGATCGTGTGACGCTATTCCATTATCCTCGATATTCTTTAGGTGATCGTGTGACGCTATTCCATTATCCTCGATATTCTTTAGGTGATCGTGTGACGCTATTCCATTATCCTCGATATTCTTTAGGTGATCGTGTGACGCTAATCCATTATCCTCGATATTCTTTAGGTGATCAAGACATGATATCACTCTATATATTATAGCTCTATCGGTTCAACTGTATATATATTTATGGTATATATTTATGATATATAAATAGGACAAAACTTGTGATTAATATTAAAAAATTAGGCTAAATATTTTATACAAGAATTATTGATAAGTTCTGGTGTCAGATTCACCAGGACCATGAGATGAACCAATATGTTATGTTGTTATTTATGAAGACTTTGTTTCAGAATATCTATTAAACAAGGTATTCTTACCTCTTTAAGGCCACAGTTAGTTCATTGTGTGTTTTTTTTTTGCCTTTTGATATGAATTCCCGTCTAGTTGAATATACAGATTTAATTTATTCAGAAATGTTCTTTGCTGTGGAAGATAGGGATCATAATCTCTTACTTCATCAGATTTCATAGCAATTTAGTGTAATTGTGTAATGTAGAGTGCATTCTCTTTAACTTAATAGCAGGGATTTCGCCAGGGATTCCAGTCCTTAGATAACACAATTTGTCATCATTTTGCCACATATTTGATTAAAAGTGTAGTGGTTTTTTTCATATACCCCATAGTTTGAAAAGTACCCAAGCTGTACATATAAATTTCAGTCTAACTTGATGTAACACAGCCTTTTACAATGGGTCTACTAGTACTGCCGACAAAGGCTTTAGTTCTTAACACAATGTTTATTTTGATGTTAGTAAAATTTCAGTTGAAATTAGGGATGGGCCTTTTCAGAACTCTATAAGATACCTGGCAAAATACCTAATGAGAGACTATTCAGAACTAACATATAATGATTATCCAAATATTTAAATACTTTTCAACAACTTTTTGCGATGATTTGAATTTGCAAAGCTAGGAACAATGATTGCTGTACAATGTGTATCAAGCGTTTGGTTGTGTTTGAATAAATTTAGAAACATACTTGAATTTTACAATTGTCTCTCCTCAACACAATTAAGATAAAAATAACAATATCATAAAGCAAAATCTGTGAACAGTCTGGTTTCAAAAGAGAAATTGCTAAAAATAATTAATCAAAAAATAACAAAATAAATGTAGACAGTAAAAGTGAATACAGTAGGACTGGACAAGCTCATGACTCCATATCTCAAAACTGTACTCTAAATTGTAGAGAAACCACTGTACATACAGTAGGACTGGGCAAGCTCATGACTCCATATCTCAAAACTATACTCTAACTTGAAGAGAAACCCCTGTACATACAGTAGGACTGGACAAGCTCATGACTCCATATCTCAAAACTGTACTCTAACTTATAGAGAAACCACTGTACATACAGTAGGACTGGAGAAGCTGATGACTCCATATCTCAAAGCTGTATTCTAACTTGTAGAGATATCACTGTACATACAGGAGGACTGGACAAGCTCATGACTCCATATCTCAAAAATATACTCTAACTTGTAGAGAAACCACTGTACATACAGTAGGATTGGACAAGCTCATGACTCCATATCTCAAAACTATACCCTAACTTGTAGAGAAACCACTGTACATACAGTAGGATTGGACAAGCTCATGACTCCATATCTCAAAACTATACTCTAACTTATAGAGAAACCACTGTACATACAGTAGGACTGGACAAGCTAATGACTCCATATCTCAAAACTATACTCTAACTTATAGAGAAACCACTGTACATACAGTAGGACTGGACAAGCTCATGACTCCATATCTCAAGACTATACTCTAACTTGTAGAGAAACCACTGTACATACAGTAGGATTGGACAAGCTCATGACTCCATATCTCAAAACTATACCCTAACTTGTAGAGAAACCACTGTACATACAGTAGGACTGGAGAAGCTGATGACTCCATATCTCAAAGCTGTATTCTAACTTGTAGAGATATCACTGTACATACAGTACGACTGGACAAGCTCATGACTCCATATCTCAAAACTGTACTCTAACTTGTAGAGATATCACTGTACATACAGTAGGACTGGAGAAGCTGATGACTCCATATCTCAAAACTGTATTCTAACTTGTAGAGATATCACTGTACATACAGTAGGACTGGACAAGCTCATGACTCCATATCTCAAAACCGTATTCTAACTTGTAGAGATATCACTGAAATGGTTTAGTCTATTTTTTTGCATCACACATTGATAACTGACAATTAACATACTGTGGCTTATTTAGTCCTGCATACAATTCTTTTAGCTTGGTGGTTTCTCAATATTTCTGCAAACTATGCGGAATCGCTTTACGACTCGAAAAAAAATTGAATTGGATTCATTTTATAAATTAATTGTGTTCGTTTTCTTTTTTTTACATGGAAATTCTAGTGTTATAAAATAATTAAAATTTAGTCATTCAGTAACTGTGTTCAAAAGTTCAATATCTTCAACTTTATGATTTGTTTAAACATGTACTTATGTTGAATAAATATGAAAAATTTCACTTTGTATGGAATTTAGGAATGTGTTTGACATTTTTGGCTTCGTGTGGGTATTTTAACTGACCTCTATTTTAGTGCTGATATATAATTATATATATTGTGTCTTCATTTTATTACTGCACAGCTTCGGCTGTTTATACAACATTACCTCCCCTGACAGCTGTGATTAACACTCGATTTGAAGCATCAATCTTTATTTAAAACTTGCCAATTGACTATTATCATTTGATGTACACACTAACAATAATCTGCATTTACTGTCTGTCGCTCAGATCTTACATAAATCAGCATTTTGACGATTACGAACTAAATATATACATTTATCACATATGCACTGTTTGGCATATATTCACCCATGTAACATGACCTATCAGCCCTGTGATTGGTTATAAGTTTCAATTGTTTCAATTGTGATGTCACACCTAGGACAAGTACATGACATCACAGACTTACGCACTGGAGTCAAAATGGCGTCTTTTTACATTTCAAGGTTGTATGAAAATTGTCATTTTACACAAATAAATGCCACAAATCTTGATTATGTGATAAAAAGGATCTTATACTCAT